GCCTGTTTTCATTCTCATCTATCATCCTTCACTGGTGCTCCGTCAGTGTATCCCGTTAGCGCAGGCGGGGTTACCATACCATTTTCACCCATAAAAAAAACCCCACTTTAACTAACCATTACTAGCAATACCTATACCTTAACACGTCGACCTCCACGCGGTTCCCCCTGGAAACCATCGTAGTTAATTTTTGATAAATTCATCACGATGTGCTAACTGACCTGTTTCATCCTCTCCAATCATCTCTCGCTGGTGCCCTGCCAGAGTATACCGATAGCGCAAGCGGAGTCACCATTCCATTTTCATCCATTAAAAAAACCCACTTTAACTATTACAAGGTTTTGTAACTTTCATTCAAATTAAAAATTTTGCTCCAAATAAAGAGACAAAACAGTTCAATAGGTAAAATAAGTTTGTTATTTATAATTTATTTATTAAGGTTTTTCGAATAAGGGCGTTAGAATGAAGTAAATCAATAAATCTTAGATTAACTATAAGTCTGTTTTAATCATAAGTCAATCACAGGTTTACCTTAGCTTTGCTCTTATGTTTCTGATTACCTCTGTCCATTAGATAATAATTGGACAACTAATTAACTAAAAGTGAGTTGCGTTGTTTCCATACAAAATCGAGAAATACGGATTTAAACCTATAACGTAACTCACATAGAAGTATCAAATTGAAAAAAGACTGTTTTAGACACTGGACAGCACTATTGCCCAGGCAAATTTTTAACTTTATTAAATGATCATTTAAAGTAGACGGGAGTATTCCAATTATGGTAGAAGTCACAATATAACGAGTAACAACTAAAGTTGTTGGTACAGTTACTGGTAACAATGTATGCACTAACTGTTTGATCAACATAAATATTTCATTAATACAAACTCAAATAACGAAAACAAATGAAACATACATTCATTGCTATTTCTTCATATTTCAAGAGACCTTTACTTTTTCGAGTTCAAAAAATGAGTAACAACAGCAATGAGTAAGAGATCACTAATCGAGATTTGGAAATAGGCCATTATATTGAATGGAAACAAGCAAGGATACAAAGGACTAGGGTTGCACGGGGCGGTATTGGTGGAGGGGATACACAGTGGTGTGTACGCGCATCGATACGCCACGCCAGTCGCCGCGGTACCGTCCTGTTGCTTGCGTCGTACGTTGTTGTTAGCAGTGTGTTATTATAGTGAACAGATAATGGTGCACGACCCATGGTCTGCCTTCAGTCCCAAGACAGGGACTTTCGAGCTAGACGCCTTCATAGCGGAGATCAACAACAACTACTGTCCTAAAGGCAAGTCAACTCTTCCATTTTAAACATAAAGATTTTTATTATTATAAGTTTGATATTTTAAACATTTAAGTTTTTTAACAGATCACATAAAACAGATCACAACCATAAAAAACTTAAGTAATAATTACATTTGTGATTCGGCTAGGTTATAATCCAATCACATTATGTGCACAGCTTGAGTAATTCATTAAAAGCAAACGCATAATATAAAAATAAATACTTGAAATGATATATAAAAGATAAAACTATATATAAAAAAAAAAATATTTTCAATCGTATTCTACAAAATAGAAAACAAGTTCTAAAGGTTATAAAAGAAAGTTTTTGATTTGTGTACCTAGTCTGTTTACATTTTAACCGTTCTATTTAAATAGATGAGTGAATTTGTAAATAAACGAATCGTAGACCAATCTATACGACACGCTGCTGAAATACTATAGCAGTGCAAATAAAAAATTGATTAATGAATAATCCTTCAATTGGTAAATAATTTTATTCAGTAAATATTTGTATGGTTTATAATATATATATTTTTTAACATTTTTAGTAAAATCAATTGCTACAGATCTATATAGATACTCTGCCCTTATATCATTCAATGAGGCCGATTATGAGGCATAATTTCCCTAAACCTATCTATTAACCAAATATTTCATTTTGGATAATTTCGTGAAATTACTATGTTATGGTTTAAAATTGTAATAGCTTATTAAAAAGTTAATTCATAGTGGTCCTTACAATAAAGATTCCTCTGTGATATCAAATTTTAATGTTGGAGAAACGGCGCGTGAACAGAACGACCCCGTATCTATCTACTATCAGACGATGGTTGCACATCATTAATTGATACAACTACGCTTATTTATATTCCAAGTTCGATTTCTTGGTTGTTACTATCTTACCAATTTTACTGGTACAATAAAATTGGTAACTAGACAATATCTGTATTGGGAGATATTTAAGAAAAATCTAAATAGAAATAGGTGCAAAAATATTTTTTTAAGGAAATTTCGTCTGATAATTTCGGGATCGAGCAAAAACTACTGCACTAAATTGGTAGTGGTTTTATTTAATAAAGTTGTATTCAGGTTTTTTTTAATTGATGATAATGGAATGGTTACCCCGCCTGCGCAATCGGTATACACCGACGGGGCACCAGTGAAGGATGATAGGTGAGAATGAAGCAGGTCAGTTAGCCCACGGTGTTCTCACGGAAATCTAACAATAAATTAATCACGATGGTTTCCAGGGGGAACCACGAGGAGGTCGACCTGACAGGGTATATTGCTAGCAATGGGGCTACTAATCCCCATTATTAACAATATATTGGTTTTTCTATATCATTGGTTTTTCTACTTCTGAAATCCACGTGTACGAAGTGGCGGGCAGAAAGTTACTGCGTAATATAGTTTCTAGTGTGATTAATTTACTTTGTATACGACAACTGCCAATTATTGGAAAACAAAGCTTAAACCGTGGTGGAGGCGGTCGCTCGGGCGCAGTAAACAATGTAGCTGGTCAGCTACTCCACGAGCGATATTTAAAAGTCCTTGTGGATCGTACATACTCGTACCAGGACGACACATTTTCCTGTTTGGTTTCAAGCCACAGCTGTGTTGATATTATTAGCACGAGCGCGCGAAACATTGATAGGCATAATACGACATCAACATAGTATCGAATATAAACACGGCGGCTGGACAGCCGAGCTGGAGTTTTAGACAAAATATTAGTAGGTAGTTAAACATTTACTGATGCGCAAGTTGACGAGCGAGGAGTGGCGCCATCTAACCAACTAGGTACGCGTCACTAGCAACAAACTGAATATTAGTTATTTCCACTTAATACCTATATTTCTACTTTATGTTGTTTTTGAAAATAGTAAATTATTTTCCATTGGTATCAATACGAAGCGTTATCCTCTTTTCTGTATTTATATATGTATATATATACAAAATATATATATATATATATATATATATATATATATATATATATATATATATATATATATATATATATATATATATATATATATATATATATATATATATATATATATATATATATATATATATATATATATATATATATATATATATATATATTATACATAGGTGTTGTATATCAACGAAATTATCCTAAAAACGCTCTAAATGGATTTACTTACAAATCGTAAAATTTATTCAATAAATTTATTTTTAATTTGTTACTTACTATTGGTCATTTTTTTATACAACTTAGAATAGCAAACAAGCTGACGGCCCACCTGATGGAAAGTGGTAACCGTCGCCTATAGACTTCAGCAGACCCACTTATGGTCGGGTTCATAATTGGTTCCATTACATTTTCACTAATTTTTTTAAAAAATCTATAATAAGGTTACCTACTCGTATAGTATCGAAAGGTATGGCGGTATTCCCGCAAAGATGAGCAAGGCCACACTATTCTTTTTTCGAAGTGATTCATAGCACCTTACGCCCCCCCCCCCCCCCATACCTCCCCCTGTAACTACATTGTGAATAGAACAAGAAGTTTGATATTTTAGTATTAATAACTTTCTCTAGTATGAATAACTGTCTCTAGTATTCATAACTTATTATAATTGTTTATATATCTAATATTCTTCCATAAAGTTTACAATTGATCTCTAGTCATAGTTCGTTTGTTTATTCTTTCTTTCTTTATTCTTTATTGTACAAAAAATGTTATTGAAATGTAAAAACAAACATAATAGTTCACAAAGACGAGCTTATCTCCAAAAGAGATTTCCTCCAGCAAAGCCAATATGAGACAAAATTACAGTTTATTAGTAGTTACAGTCATACATGTGTACCAATCGACTTAAATGTTCTAGTTAAAAATAAATAAATAATATATATATATATATATATATATATATATATATATATATATATATATAATACACAAATATAATGAGTACGTACATCAGCATTGTGAGAGGTTCTTTAGACGCGATTTAAAAATCCCAATGCTATTTGTATTTCTATTATGTATGTCTCATTAAAGTTTTAATGACAAATTTTAATGAGACATACATAAATTTATAATTATATAGATATTACTCTCTGTTTAAATAGATATTATGTACATTTTGGACATTTATTGAATATTATTATTACACTAATACTGACATTACAAAATTTGCTATATTTCTTTTAGTAAAGCTACAGTCCGTTAAATAAAAAAATTGCATACTAATGTTGGCAAAACATGTTCGAAGTATAACGTCATTAAAATACCCAGTAGGTATGTGAATACTGCACACACATGTTATGCAAATCAATTTTTAATTAAATCTTCAGGTTTATCTTCGTATCATGATATGAAGCTTCGTCCAATTAAATAGTTTTTGAAAATCAAGGTCCACTATCTACTTATATGTAAATTCCTCTTTAATAATTATTCGAATCTGACCTTTCGTTTAAAAGTTACGACGGTTATAAAAATAATAAATTGTCGCGGCGTGAGAGCCTTATGCCTAATATTGTCTTAAAATACTAATTTATCTTTAAATCCACCTACGCGTGCGAAGCCTGGGCGGTCGCTAGTGTTACATTAAAAATAATTATTAGAATTGAAATATATTTAATAATATTGTAAATTTAATGTAATTTTTTATCGCGATCCTTTAGCACAATCCGTAAGAAATTTATAAAAACTTACATTTGCATAGCATTATATGGGCGTGATACATGGACAATGAAGCAAAAAGACAGAAAAAGTTACGAATGAAAAAGACTTAAAAGGGCTGAATGAGAAAAGAACATTAATAAAAACAATAAAGCATAGAAGAGGCAAAATGCTGAGTCAACTTATATATTTTTTAAAGAGCATAGTAGAAGGAAAAGTAGAGGACAAAAGGGGAAAAAGAAGACCGAGGAATAACTATTATGGGACAGATAAAGGAAACACTAGGTATTATGTCGTATAGGGAGGTCAAGGATATGGCCTGGGATAGAGCTGGCTGGAAGAGAATGCATGAGTTAGTTGCACCGACAAGAGGAAACTCTTAAACGTAATGAGAGAGGTACGATTCAATACAATAACTCAAACATTCATTTGTTAGTCATTTTGTTATCAAGTTTTTCATTGTGAGTATCCATGTCAATGATCCACATTTTTAACTGACTTCAAAAAAAGGGGGAAATGATATCTTCCATAGTAGATATTATTTTTTTTTATTTCAGCGTCATTCTATTGTGCTTTAACGTTAATTTTCTAAGAAAGATAATAGAAAAAAGAATCTATTGTATTTCTTATTGAAAATGTATCTATTATGCCTTGTACCTATTTTGTCTATTAAAATTCCTTTCTCATTGCTAATTAAGTATTACTAGGGGGGAAAGGTATTGTTAGTAATACGGACTACCAGTCCCATTGCCAGCAATATACCCTGTCTGGTCGACCTCCACGTGGCCCTCTCTGGAAAACGTGCTGAATTCCAGATGGGCACACACGATGGGCTAACTGACCTGCCCTTTCATTCTTACCTATCATCCCTCACTGGAGCCCCACCAGCGTGTACTGTTAGCGCGGGCGGGGTCACCATTCCATTATCATTCATTAAAAAAATTAAATGTTACTAGATAGTTTACCACAATACTATTTTAGTGCCATAGTCGACAGACATAAGAACTAAAATATTTTTATCATTCATTCATAACAGCTGTTGATTGTCCACTGCTGAACATAGGCCTCGCTCTGGGGGGGGGGGGGGGGTCCTTTGCCAGCAGTTGTTACGCTTGTCAGGTGGGTTGGCAACCGCAGTTAGGCTTTGATAATGTTTTAAAAGAGACGCTGCTGTTCATCCCTCGACTATTAAATTGTTCCCTTAGTCGTCTCTTACGATGGGATGATTCCCATGGGAAAGATAGGTGTGGCCCATTTCATACCGAGTCCATACGGTTATTTAAAATATTAAATTGTTATATTTAAATATTGTAACCGCTAGATACTTATAGGTATCTATATAGGTAGGTACCTATTTCATTTTAATTTGATATAAAATCTTGATAAAATACGGGAAAAATGTGTAAAATATAAACCAGGAAATTATGAGCCGCCAACCGTCAAAGCCATGAGAAGAGACCTCACATTTATATAAAATAAAATAGGTACTCCTATCCCGTAGGTACTCGCTGTGCCCAAGAGGGCCCATAATTAGACCTATTTCAATATTTACCAACCATATTGTGGGATACAATAAATAAATATATAATTTAAGTATATACAGTATGTAATCAATGACGAGTGTTATAATTTTTTTACAAATATAACTAAGTTATGTCTTGGTCATCGTCATTAACATAATAGCTGCTAATTGTCCATTGCTACACTACATAGGCCTCCCCCTTGGGAGGGCCGGAGGGTATAACTAATAATAAATAAGAAGAAAGCTATATACTTAGTATATATAATCTAATAGATAGAGCATCGAGTCCCCAAAACGAGTCAACTTTTTGTCAGCCAATTGTCAAATTAGCTAAAAAATTTATAATTTGCTGACACGTTTTTTTTTATCAGTGTCATACATTATGTGTGTAAAAGTCTATCTATCTATACCTAATTATTTATTAATAAAAAAACGTTTTTATGCGTTAAAAAGATACAAAAATTATAAAACAAAATAAATATGGAAGTTATAAAGGAATCACTCGTAACTATTGACGCACGCAAAATTGTACGAAAAAGTTGACCCTCTTTTCTTGAAGCATTTGTATGGATCTTTATCTATACAATCAAAGATATATATTTATTATATAATTTAGATTATATATGTAGATAGTATAAAATTATATATGTAAAAAATTAGGGTTCGTGAAGTGGGCTTAACACGTAACATGAGACAATGACCACATTAACTAATTATCCATGTAAATAGTCATTACAGATAAGAAGTGTCTAATTTACAATCAGTCATTATGATGGTGATGGTAATGATGGACCGATTAGTCGTTTCACCTGAGATTAAGTCAGCTGTCATTTTTTGCAAAATATAAATTGTGTTTACTTTCTTAAAATTATCCATTCGTGGATAATGACAACAAATGCAGTTATAACTAGCTGATGCCCGTGACTTTGTCCGCGTGGTATTTGTTATTCCTGTTTAGTATTTAAGTTTTTTTTTAATGAGTGAAAATGACATGGTAATCCCGCCTGCGCTATCGGTACACACTGGCGGGGCATCAATGAGGGATGATCAGTGACGATGAAAAGGCAAGTCAGTTAGCCCATCGTGACGAAGTCGACGATAAATTAGTCACGATGGTTTCCAGGGGAACCGCGTGGAGGTCTACCTGATAGGGTATATTGATAGAAATGGGGACTAACCCCCCATTACTAACAATCCTTTCCTCCCCTATATATCGATGTATGGCTATTTATTATGTCCAGGAATTCTGGACCAAAATTAACATCGTACGGCTCGCCATCGGCAGGGAGTTCATCCTCATGTCCTACAGCCTAAATGGTCGCGTACTGCGCGGTTTCAGAGATATTTCCTCCCACGAACACTCAGCTTGTGGAATGAGCTCCCTGCCGAGGTTTTCTCAAGAGACTACAGCATGGGGTTCTTCAAAAGGGCGGTAAAGAGGTTTCTTCAGGGTCGGCAACGCACGCGTAATACCTCTGGTATTGCAGGTGTTCATAGGCTACGGTAACCACTTGCCACCAGGTGGGCCGTATGCTTGTTTGCCATCTCAGTGGTATAAAAAAAAACAAATGACGTGTCGTTTTCACACTTTGCTTTGGTCGATATGACTTTATTTAAGTAGGTTGTGTAAATACTAAGCTGTAATAGTTACTATAGTTTTTCAACTATCTCACGGGAACACTTTAATTTTCTGTGATTAAAAATATAATAGATGAGTAGAATGGGTATTATCATGTAAAATTTCATTTTAATCACTTCAACGATTTCGGAGATTAGCCCGTACAAAAAAACAGAGAAACAAAAATTTTGAAAAATCTGTCTGTTTTTTTATACAACTTAAAATGGCAAACAAGCTGACGGCCCACCTGATGGAAAGTGGTAACCGATGCCTATAGCCATGGACATAACAGAGTATACTGTTTCGCCCATGATACCCCCCATGCGTTGCCATTCCTGGGGACTAGAATGTGCTCGATTTCACTTCTAACATCCCCCTGACTCGGTTTTTAGCGGATTTTTTTTATGTACAGACATTCGACCTCTGCAGTTTTATTAAGTACCTATATAAATAGATGTTGGGGAACAAATATTGATTATCATAATCGTTAAGTGAATAATTTGTTTGCACATGACATGTCTGTCTAATTACAGCCTGTTAATACTTTATTGATGTAACGGTTGCGTATTATTACACATAATTATTGTAATATCAAAAAAGCACAAATCAATCATAAGGTGAAACTTTATAATTATGTATTGGGAACATGTCCTGCTCAATGCGTGAGCGGGACAGGGAGATGGCACGTCTCACAATAAATAATACAAAACAAGCTTCGTATCTATTGTATACCGTTCACACAGTAAACGGCGACAGGCCACTGGCCAATCGCGGCTCCCTGCACGACCGGTCGCGGCGCGATCTCATAATTGTGTATGCGTGTGCGCAGAAGGCGAAGCGGAGTGCGGCGGGGAGGGCGGCGGCGAAGCGGAGAGCCCGCCCCCCATGGCGCCGTTCGGCTACGCCCACCCGGGGAACCTGTCGCCGTCCCACTCGCGCAGTTATCAGGAGCTGCGGCCGGCAGCGGCACACGGCCGCGACATGCAGACTTATACGCACTTCGACGAGTCGCTGTTCAAGCCGGCGCCGGCGCCGGCGGCGGCGGCGGGCGGCGGCTCCACTGACGGCATGTACTTGCGCGGCCGCAGCCCCGAGCTCAGCCCCTCGCCCGAGCAGCGCCGCGACGACTACCGCCACTACGAGGCCTACCCTGCGCCGCCGGCCTACTCGCATGAACACCACCACCACCACATCGATAGGTGAGTACCATTTACTCTTGTTTTATATCGTTTAAGTTATTAATTGTGTGCATATTTATTTATTATATTTTTTTTTCGAGACGTAAAAAATCGTGTTTAGTTCTGTTCGTGAGTTCTTGCTTGTGATCTTAATTTGTTGCAATAATTTTAATAATAACTCGTAAGGTTTGTTTTGTGATCTCTACCATTTAATAAGGATCTTTATGTTCATACAATTCTATACAATAGGCAGGTCGTTTCACGCACGAGTTGTGTTTCGGGTTTTCAGTCTACAGTTTTGAGAAAATATTTTCTTAAAAATATTGAAAATATACGTCTATACATCTCCACAAAAATAATAAAAAAAAAATGTTTACAAAAAAGTGACAATTTAGATACATAGAATAAAAAATAAATTTAATCCATTAATATATGTTTACGTCAGGTTCCTTGAGGAGTGGGTAGAGAGAAACGGAGGGCTGTATAGACACTATCTTTGTCTACTATTTTTTATTTTCATGATTCAGTATCGTGCTCGAGTATATTGACCTATGTGTTACTATGTGAGTGATCGCTTCGGTTTAACTAACAACTCCCTCGAAGAGATTGGATACGATACAAGTTCAAAATTAAAAGTGAGGTGCTTTCCTTTATAAATTAAGTACGATTCAGCTAGTTTCAAATTAAATGTAAGAAGTTTTCAATCCACTTCTGAAGCAAATCGATTCTCAATTCGATTATATTTTATATTTTTACTTCATAACTCCGTCAGTTATAAATCGATTTGGGAAATCCTTTATTTATCTGTAAGGATATAAAATCGGTTAAATAGTTCAGTTTTTAAATGAAAATAACTGATTTTGCCATAATTGAAATCAGTTTTTTATGGAACATAATTTTAAATTATTAATTTATGCTATTAATTATTAATTGTAAGTAAAATGTGTAGTTACTTTACTCTACCATTGATTTCACAATTCAGTTCAAATGGTAATTTAATAAGTTTAGAATTACATCGTATGTAAACTGTTAGAGGACGATGATAGTTATTCACGAAATGAGAGAATTCATATATTTCCTTTATGAAGAGTAGGCATCATTAGCAGCATATACTAACAGATAGACCGTTGACCGTTACGAGTGCGGTTACAGTAGCGGGTTGCGGTCGCCTCAACGATGCATTAATTTCTTGGTGATTGATTATTTCATAACCGATAGATAACGCAGCGCGACAAAGAGTTGCACGTCTAGGTACATATATGTGCATTGATTGACTCACACAGCAGTGCGTGCACTTCGCTACCTACGGTTTGGAAACGTGCGTCATGTTTATTGCCCAGACAATTTCATCTAACTTGTATTATTATACTCGTAAATTTTATGAGCGGACAATCATAAAGAAGTAGTAATATAATATTTATCAATGTTTAGAGTTTTGTACCAAAAAAGTACAAAGGAAGCCCTTATTGTGCGAATTCTTCCGTCCGTCTCGGCGTTATATGTTACAGCAACTACTAATGTTATCGATTTGAAATCTAGAATAAAAATATACATTTTATTGGCCCAATGGAAATAATAAAATAATATTTTTTTCTTTGCTAAAAGGTTTTAAAACAGGTACCTACTCATAATTTCGAATTGGACCAATTAGTCCAAGTGTTCTAGTTTCTAATTCTCCTTACAATGTATTATGGGACATTTCAAAAAACTTATTTACAAACATTTAAAAGGCCAGCGACGCACAAGCAACTCCTCTCGTGTTGCATGTGTTCACGGGCGACGGTAGCCACTTCCCATCGGTGGACCGTCTGCTCGTTTGCCTCTCTAATAATAAAAAAAGTGAGATATTATATAAAAGAGCTTCATTTGTATATTTTAAAACTGTTTTTTTTTTAATTTTAATAAAAAAAATTAAATCAATCAATTTATGTAAACTTTATTGACCAATAAAATGTGGTACCAAAGGCGGACTTAACGCTATAGACATTCTCTACCAGTCGACCTTCAGGATGTGCAGACATGCTCGGCTTAAACAATAAAATTACTTATAGCTCAGTATTATTGTACATCCAACGTACAATAATTACAACACTTGACTCTTTTACTTTGATTGTTAAGGTAATGGTCGCTTACAGTGTCACATCGCTACACACAACCTATCTACCCTGTATCAAACACGTGGAGTCCTCTTACGGTGAATAGAGTTTTGATAGATCTCACTGCAGTCGATAGAGTTTACTCTTGTTCTCGTTCCGTATTAACATCGGATGATATAGGTCTTTTTTTATTTAATATTAAATCCATCACCACTTTTCCATGTTCAAAAAAAAAAACGGATTTCAGTTGCGGCAAAATTTGTTGTTTTGTTTTGAAAACTAAATTATGGAATTGATTTTGATAAAATATCTGTGGGATCAATTTGAAAGTCTATCCTTTCATATTAATAAAGAAAATTTTTAATTTCTTTATAATTGACGTAGTTATGGGGTGACAAACATAAAATACAACCGAATTGAGGAGCTTCTTTTTTGAAGTTGGTAGATAGATAAAATAAAAAAAATTGCTTGTAATAAATACGTTACGATGTTGGTATCACATCTTTTTTGGTTTGAAGGGTGGAATATGGCAGTGAATTTGCAGGGTACAGAGGAATAACACCTGAGTCCTCAGGAATGTCAACGCATGGGGGGGGGGTGGTTTCATGGGTGAAACAGTATGCTCTGTTATGTCTATAGTACTGTTCATGTCTATAAGCGACAGTTATCACTTTCCATCAAGTGGGCCGTCAGCTTGTTTGCCATTCTGAGTTGCGTAAAAAATAAGCTGACGGCCCACCTGATGGGAACTGATAACTGTGGCCTATAAACATGAACAGTACTATGAACATAACTGAGTATACCATGTCGCCTATAATACCACTGAAGTGTTGGCATTCTTGAAGACTAGGCTATTGCCTCTATACCCTGTAATTTCATTGATTTATCCCACACTTTAAACCGAAACACAGCCATGCAAACACAACTGCTTCACGGTAGAAACACGATGGGACAGAGGTGCCCAAGCAGATTATTTTGGTACAGTCTCTCTCTATTTCTGAAATTTCGAGCTGTAGCTATCAACTTTTTTACATACGATAACTTAAATGGACTATCAATAAATAAAACTATTTAATCGAACTTGCATATATTCATACACAATTTGACAATATATTAGGTACTCGTGACATAAAAGACCAGAGTGAGACTTTGTACAAAAGTCGATTGCTTGGGTACCTCTGTCCTATTCGTGTTTCAACCGTGAAGCAGTTGTGTTTGCATGGCTGTGTTTTGGTTTGAAGGGTGGGATATGGCGTGAATTTACTGGGTACAGAGGAATAACACCTGAGTCCACAGGAATGGCAACACATGGGGGGTATCATGAGCGAAACAGTATACTCTGTTATGTCCATGGTACTGCTCATGTCTATAGGCGACGGTTACCACTTTCCATCAGGTTGTTTGCTATTCTAAGTTGTATAAAAAAAACATAAATGATAAACAAATTGTGAATCTCCTTTGGAGTGGTGCATGAGTGTTTACAATTCAAGGTGCCTGTATCAAAGCGGAGCCGAACAGAATTGGTTAAAAGGTCTGCATTGTTTTCGGTAGCTGTTCGATGTTGAGTCGATTGTCCTCCGCTGTGTTATCAGCTCATTGTGGGCCGTGTGTTGGTGTGTAGCATGCACGTACGTCGGTACACGTCGTATCCGTTCATGTGTGCACTGCGCCGTTCAATTAGTAGGCGTCCGCGGCGAGCCGCGCTTCTTCCTGACTGCCTACAGTTACAGCGCAAGCCAATTTAGTTCAAACTCAATCGAGTGGACTGCTGCTGTGTACGGTGGTGTGTGCTATGTACGTAAGGGTGATAATCGCGTGCCCGTACAGCGGCGGAACTGGCTGCCGATACCTACTGGCACGCTCGCTGCTACGTTTATTATAATTTTAATTGCCTACGTGTGTGTAGGCACCGCTAGCTGCCCTCGCTCCGGCCGCTTGTGAAAACAACTCCATTGTTTATACAAAGTCCATTTATTTTAGTCTTTTAATTGTCATTATAAATAATAGGCAGAGAATGATTTAATGTTGGTTAAATGACGTATTAATTTTCATAAATCACTGGCCGCTTCAACATTTCAACATATTGCGTTACCACTTGAAACGTTTCAGTTTTTATGATCCAATGTTTCTGTCTCATCTTTTTCGAGCCTAAAGATAGGGATAAAAATATTTATCTATGATAATTGATCGTTATCTCCCTCTCCGTAGTATAAGACTTCAACGAGACCCTCCAAGTAGATTACCTACATCTATAGAAATGTAGATATATCATTGTAAGCGAAAGACTTATTTCTCTTTCTTACTCTATATAACTTTATCTAATGTCTCGCTCGCACACATCTCTCATCAATCACATTGCTAAACTCTTACGTTTTAACGTAATATTTTAAAATAGTGAAATCAATAAAATAGTGTATTGGTAGATCAAGATAAAACATACATCAATAGATTTGAACTATAGGAGCACAAGACAGATAGAGACGCCTGATACTTATCAAATTCACTTAACCCTTCTTTGCATGATTTTTTTTATTGGTGAAATAAATCAAGGTGATATAATTCATGTTCAAAATTAAAGGAAAAATGGTTAAAAAATAAGTTTGACAGCTATGGTTTTTTTTTCTGCAATGGACATTAAAAAGGTATCCAGACACGATCAACTTAAAGTGAACTTGTTCTCTTATATAATTTTTGAGCATTCAATGTTATGATGGAAATTTCCACCATTATACAAAGAAGGGTTCAATATCTTTTATGGGGGGGAAAGGGATTGTTAGCAATGGAGTTTGACAGCCCCATTGCTAGCAATATGCCCTATTAGGTCGACCTCTACGTGGTTCCCCCTGGAAACCATCGTGAACAATTTTTGTTGAATTTGTCACGATGGGCTAACTGACCTGCATCACCCTCACCTATCATTCTTCA